CATTAACCGTAAGGAGTGAGATTTCCCATCGGATGTTTGTGATGACTTTTTAATGATTATTCCGTACTTTTCTCTACAAGACTGTGTACATAACCCGTACTTTATTTTCCTGTTATTTGAAAACATCGTGTAACGTATAACCTTAGAATTTGTGTTGTAATATATATTATCGATTCGATGGAAGACCAGTTAGATTCAATAGTATGGAAGACCAGTTAGAATTTCGCACGTTTAATACTTGTATGCAATAGTATGGAAGACCAGTTAGATTCAGTAAGAAGATTTGTTACATGCATCATGATTTGAAAATTCTCGCATGCGTATATACTGGCAACAAAACAGTATGTTGAATGGACTGCAGGCAACTTTTCCTTTTGTTTTCAAATATAACTTTATTACAGAGTCCTTTTTTGCATGACTTTGTCTACTAAATAAACTTTGCATGGACTGCAACAAAGATTCCCATCATATAATTTGAACCACGCCTAAAGGGGGTTGAGTAAAATAAACAATGGCAAATCAATTATTGAACAACCACTGTTGCTTGAAATTATTGCTCATGTGCTTTTAGTTCTATATAAATTGCAATTTGTAATGAGAAAGACATTATTTCACGTCTCACAACGTCGACTGATACATTCTTTTGTCAAATCGTGAAGCCTTTTTCATGTTAGTAACTCCATTCAATTTGCCACAACTATTCGAAACGAATATTTGAAATTTCTACATAACGGATACAAGTTCGAAACGATGTCCGATAGTTCGGATGTGTACGCATCATCAGAAACAGACTGCGACATTCAATCGATGTCTGATGCAGATACGATGTCTGATGAAGATTTGATGGACCAAATGGATGATGACATTATCACTTGGCTTAAGTACTGTAGAATCGCCGAGGGAATTGTTCGCGAATACTTGGTACGTAATCGAGCATGTCAATTTCTATTCCCGACGGAGCGATGCGGCCACGTTTTTATGCTACAAAATTTGCATGTCTATCCACAAACGTGTTTTCAAGAGTTTAGGATGTACCCTCCAATGTTTATGTACTTCACGCACATTCTTCGCGACTCATTCGGAATTTCTAGCAGCACGAACATTGACATATACGAACAGGTGGGAATGTTCTTGTATATTCTAGCACACGGCAAAGGATATCGTCAAGTCCAAACGATTTTCGGTCATTCGCTGCAGACGCTCAGTCATTACTTTAAGACGGTTTTGCGTGCATGCGTGGCGATCGCGGCAACCATGATTAAACCAGTT